TCAAATGCCCACCAGGCATACGTGGCTGGTGCAGCTGTGTGTGATATGTTGACCACTGCACAGAACTCTCAAAGGACCAGGGTCAGCCGGTCAAGCATAAGCATCAGAGCCTGGTCTGAGCTGTGCACGTGAGAGACGGCCGTCCAGCTGGACTCAGTCACTGTCCCACTGTCCCTGGCCTGCCCCTCCTCACCCCACAGAGGGCAGGGAAGCAATGGAAAAGATCACTCAAACTGACAAATCAAGCAAAAGTGACTCGTGCTTGGCTGTTAATAGGTAATAAGGAAGGCTTTCATTCACCAATGGCTGCATCTTCAGCAAACATTTTTGAGGAACTACTATGTGACCAGCACTTGTTAGACTGGAGCAGGTGAATGAAAGATAAGTCACAAGCTTGATTAAATAATCTCACTGCTATACTGTTCTGCAGTGGAGGAGCCCAGCAGCAGGGAAGAGAAAATCTGAAAATTTAGGGCGGGTTGTTGGAGATGGTCCTGAGGGGTGAGTAAGAGTTTGCTGGAGGAAGAACATCCAGGCAGCCTATGTGAAGACTCCCAGCAGGGTCAGGCAGGCCTGTTAGGTATGAGGGGCCGAACTGGCCCCAGGGATACCTGAAACTAAATCTGACACAAAAGTGACATCTGGAAGACTGATCTGCCTTTGATGCTGTCAAAAATACAAACAGCAACTAAGCCATTCTTCCATTCAATGAACATTGCCCAAGTACCTATTGTTTTATTCTAACTACCAGAGACAGAGCCCTAAAACCCCAGCCCTCTCGCTGCTTCCCCAGGACTTTGTGTCCCCTCTCACAGGACCCATTCCCTGGAATCTCCTTGGTTCCTCCCTCATGAACTGTGGCTCTACCTCTAAGTTCTTGGAAAAATAGACCCTAAGTGTATGGTTTTCCAAAGTCTTCCACAGTGGTGCAGAATGCGGCAAAGAGAAATGACTAAAGAGATTTGACAGCCAGGGAGATAGTACTTGCTCTGTTCCTAGAAATAAACTAAGATAATGATAATGATGAACCTTGCTGGTCCAGGCAGGAAGGCACTCAGGTGCCATCATTCCTTCATGCAATATTGATATTTATGAAGCACCCACTCTGCCAGGCTACTGTTCTAGACACTTGGGAAACATCAGCTCATTAAAAAGTGTTGGCAAGGTAACTTGTCAGAATAAGCTAGTACCATTCAAATTTTAATAATGAGAATGATTTCCCAAACCACCTTGGTGGTCACGTTATACGATGATGTGTTTTAAAGGGGTGCAGAAGGAGGAGGCTTGTTAAACTGTCTTCCCCTAAGAGTGCCATCTTCTACAACACTTTTACTCCTACAATTAGGTATCCTTTAATTGGTTCCATGACCACCACTTCCTTCGCCTCAGATAGCAACAACCACAGATGCTCAAGTCCCTGATATAAAATGATAAAGTATTTCCATGTAGCCTACATGCATCCTCCCATATACTTACTTATTTTTATTTGAGACAGAGTCTCACTGTCACCCAGGTAGGAGTGCAGTGGCACGATCTCAGCTCACTCAGCTCACTGCAACCTCCACCTCCTGGGTTCAAGCTATTCTCCTCCCTCAGCTTTCCAAGTAGCTGGGATTACAGGTGCCTGCCACCATGCCTGGCTAATTTTTGTGTTTTTAGTAGAGATAGGGTTTCACCATGTTGGCCGGCTGGTCTCAAACTCCTAACCTCAGGTGATCTGCCCACCTTGGCCTCCCAAAGTGCGGGGATTACAGCTGTGAGCCATGGCGCCCAGCCAACATCCTCCTATATACTTTAAATTACCTTAATATTACTTACAATACTTAATACAATGTAATTGCTCTGTAAATTGTTGTCAGACTGCACTGTTCAGGGAATAATAACAACAACAAAAAGTTTGTACATGCTCACACAGAACAGTACAGAAACAAACAACATTGGTTCAGAAACAATATTTTTGAATTGAAGTTGGTAGAACCCTCAGATACAGAGGGCCGGCTATCTTATTTGGGATTTTGGATTACTTATATGCCTATAAGCTCACAGCAGCAAACTGGCTAAAGCATGGCATGGTTTAGGCCCCATTCCGTGCCCACAAGATCATTCCCAAATCTCCCTGTGCTTGGCACTGGCTTCTCACTGTGGGCAGCTACAGAACCCCCAGGACGGCGCTGGAGGAAATGCCCCTCAGGCAACCTTCCCTCACCTGCCCCATACCTGGAACAACAGGCAGATGGGGCCACTGGTACACCTGAGGCTGGGCTCTGGCAGGGCCCTGTCAACTTAGGGAAACCAACAAACAAGCTAGGCATGCAGGTGCACGCACGGCGGTTCCCTCGCACCTGGATTTGCAGTCAAGATTAATCAAACTTAGTATCTGGTTTCTCTTTGTCCGGTTACAGATCTTACATGGCAAGGGAGAATTCTTTCAAAATCCACTCCACCCTCCCAATTTTACAGAGATCAACCAGTTCTAGAAGGTTTCTGGGCTCACTCCAAGTCCTCAGTGAGGGAGACATGTGAGTCAGAGGCCATCGAGGAGGGTGAACCAATTTTCATGGTCTTAGTTGTACAACATACAATGGCCAATGGTGGGTCATCTCTTAATTTAAAACTAGTGACACCTCCCAGTTGGGATCCCATTTCTACCTTTTGCCCACCCTCCCCCCACCCCCACGGTTTATTCTCATCATTGCAGTCAGAGCGATCCTTAAAAAAAGAAAAAAAAAAAAAAAATCCCATCAAGCTGCTCCCTGCAGCATCTGCTTCCACTTAGCATCTGTGGCTGCCTACTTAACCTGTCTGCGTGACCTGGTCCTCAGTTACCTGGCAGACCTCACCTGTCCAGACTTCCTGATCCGCACTGGCCTCTTTGCTGACCTCTACTTCCAGGATAGGGTTCTGCCCTGGCCACATCCCAGCATCTTGAATACTCTTCCCCACATTGTCTGCAAGCTCCCTCCCTCCATCCTTCAGGTCCTTGTTTGAGGTCATCTGAAGATCAGCCTATTTAACACCTAGTCACCCTCTCCCCAAGCTTCCTGTCCCATGTTTCCCCCAGTACTTATCACTGGCTGACACATACTGCATCATTTATGGACCTAGTATGCTGACTGTTGACTGTCTTCCCACAATGTAAATCCACTTTTTAATTCACTGATGTATCCCAAGTACCTCAAATGGTGACCTGGCAAAGTGAGTGCTTTATAAATATTGCATGAAGGAATGACAGGACTGAGTGTCTCCCTACCTGGACCAGCGAGAGAAGAGAGACTTCCAAACAGGCATTGTAAACACTTAAAAAGGGAGATGGAGAGAAATGATTTTTTAAAATCAGAGGCCCACCTATTGGGAACTTGCAGTGGCCAGACCGATCAATAAAATGGATGAATGCTTAGAGGCCCAATCATTTAATTAGAAAAATCTGTGTACCTTTGTAATTCCCAAAACTCCAATGTTGGGACTGGATGAAGTAGAGCCATTTCCAGTACCAAATATGCCATCAAGAACACAGGAGAGGCCCTCCACGAAAATTCCCCTAAAATGTAAAGGAATGGAGGAAAGAAAAACATTCATTCAACTGGGTGATCCACTCACTCTGAAACAGCCTCTACACATCTGCAATCCAAAAATGTGGCCCACAGACCAGCAGCTTCCACATCTCCTGGGAGTGGGGGTTAAAAATACAGAATCTCAGACCCCGCCCCAGACCTGCTGAAGCAGAATCTGCATCCTTTTTTTTTTTTTGAGATGGAGTCTTGCTCTGTCACCCAGGCTGGAGTGCAGTGGCATGATCTTGGCTCACTGCAGCCTCTGCCTCCCAGGTTCAAGCGATGATCCTGGTTTAGCCTCTGGATAGCTTGGATTACAGGATGCCCACCACCATACCTGGCTAATTTTCATATTTTTAGTAGAGATGTGGTTTTTGTCATGTTGGCCAGGCTGGTCTCAAACTCCTGACCTCTGGGTGATCTGCCCACCTCAGCCTCCCAAAGTGCTGGGATTACAGGAGTGAGGCACTGTGCCTGGCCAGAATCTGCATTTTAACAGAACCCAGCAAAGCTCATTCAATTTTGAGAAGCACCTCTCAAAGTCAAAGTGTTAGATTCGAGTGTTTTTAAATCACTGCAAATGAAAGCAAAGGATTTTAGCCAGAAAATAAAGCCATCTGTTGGGGTACAAGACAAACATGGGCCGTCTATGGAAATAAAACACTGATGTGATGTTTTACTATTAAATTCAGTTTCATCAGGAAGGGTATGTTTTATAATTTCATAGGTACTGACACTTTTAAACATATTGATATGTGAGTATTTTTTTTTTTTTTTTTTTTTTGAGACAGAGTTTCGCCCTTGTTACCCAGGCTGGAGTGCAATGGCGCGATCTCGGCTCACCGCAACCTCCGCCTCCTGGGCTCAGGCAATTCTCCTGCCTCAGCCTCCTGAGTAGCTGGGATTACAGGCACGTGCCACTATGCCCAGCTAATTTTTTGCACTTTTAGTAGAGACGGGGTTTCACCATGTTGACCAGGATGGTCTCGATCTCTCGACCTCGTGATCCACCCGCCTCAGGCCTCCCAAAGTGCTGGGATTACAGGCTTGAGCCACCGCGCCCGGCGCGATATGTGAGTATTTAATCATATGTAGCAGCTCCATTAGAGAAAGATGTGGACATCAGGACTGGAAGCCCCTAACAGAGCCAAGGCAAGACATGCCAAACCAGCCCACTGATCTCATCACATATAGTCCCTTTTGGGGTGGCAGAGCTGGCTGGAGAACAGGAGGGGATCTGGGCTTTCTTTTCTCTGCAGACTCTTCAGGGGCAATTATCTAACAACTTCTGAAAGCTAAAGACCAAGTATTTTGAGACCATAAACCCCATAGTTCATAAACCCTAGATTTCACAGATTTCATTCACTTCTGCTATTCCTGTCCCTATTTACATAAATTGTAACTGTGCATAGATTACACAGGGCATAGCCCTGGGGACAGGTGGAATGTATCTAACTGATAGGCCTGGAGCAGTTACAGCCTGCTGCTAAGGTTTCCACTACAGGGGAGAGAAAAGGTATCCTTGTGCTTTCTGTCTGTCTGATGGTGGCAGCCAAGATTGGATGGGGAAACACAGGGAGAAAACAGGTAATTTTTGCAACGTCTAAACAGTGCTGTATAGCCAAGTAAGGTGGTGCACACCTGCAGTCTCAGCTACTCGGGAGGCTGAGGTGGGAGGATCACCTGAGCCCAGGAGTTCCAGCGTGTGGTACATTATGATTGTGCCTGTGAATAGCCACTGCGTGCAGCCTGGGGAACACAGTGAGACTCCAGGTCTTTACAAAACAGCAGTAGCAACCCTGTGAACAGTGAAGAGCTTGTTTTGCACTGAAGAAAAATTTCAGTTTATGGAAAAAAAACAAAAACAAAAACAGCTATACATCTCCTTTGATCCTCTGTTATCTTGTTTTGTGTGTGTGTGTGTGATCTCCAAATGATACACACACACCAAAAAAAAAACAAGTAAAGAACAAGTGCAGTGCTTGGCATGTGTTTTTTGAACTTAAGGCTTCCAGTGGTTTCTCAGAAAGCTGTTTGATGTCACTGCAATTAAGAAAGGGTAGGAATTCTGTTCCACATCATGAACGAGGAGGAAAATGAAAGTGAACAAGAGCAGTGATATGTCCAAGGACAAATAGCCACTGGAGTCCTGCTGCTTGGCTGGCTCCTGCTGAAACTCCTGGTTTTGTCTTCAAGGCAATCTAAACCTAAGAACAAAGTAACAAGACCACGCGGGAACTCATCTTCTCAGGAACGTACCTGTTTATTGCGTGGATAGGGGGCGGTGGGGCACAGGACAGCCGTGCGCAGGCGTAGTAGTCACCGATAGACTCGATGATGCTGGCGACCACAGCGCTGAGCATGCCAATGACACCAGCTGCGGACACAGGTGGGTAGTCCCCACTGAACTGCGGGAGGAAAACAACCATGAACGCTCCCAGAGGGGCAAGCGAAAGTGACCAAGACTAGTTACCCGAAGTCCTTCTGAATGCTGGAGGACTCTACGAGATCCACATGGATTCTGAAGCTCGTGGATATTGTTCATTTTAAAATCTTAAGCACCAGATGCCTGGGACAGTTGCTGAGTCAGATGAAGACGGCCATAACAAGGACTGATCCCCACTGTGTCTTTATTTAAAAGAAGACGTCATGGCTGGGCACAGTGGCTCACACCTGTAATCCCAGCACTTTGGGAGGCTGAGGCAGGCAGATGATGAGGTCAGGAGTTCAAGACCAGTCTGGCCAACATGGTGAAACCCCATCTCTAATAAAAATACAAAATACAAAACACAAAAATACAAAAAATTTTGTGGTGGCACATGCCTGTAATCCCAGCTACTTGGAAGGCCAAGGCAGGAGAATCTCTTGAACCCGGGAGGCAGAGGTTGCAGTGAGCTGAGATCGTGACACTGCACTCCAGCCTGGGTAACAGAGCAAGACTCTATCTCAAAAAAAAAAAAAAAAAGAAAGAAAAAAATAGAAAAAACATAAGAAGATATTACTGGGCTGGAAGAGGCCAGCCATAGCTTCTCTTTCCTGTTTCTAAGCCACACTCAGTATCTACTAAATAACAACTGAAAGTGGCCTGCTGTGGAGGGAAATTTGTAAGAGGGTTTTATAGCCCTGCTATACAGAGCAGGGTATAAAGAAACAGTGGCCTTCCCCAGGAGAAGCTGCCTAGTGAAAAAGCAGTGAGGAATCACCAGCTAAATTTAAATCCTGATAGTAAAGCATCCATAAGGTATGGACAGTCCTTCTCTACTATAATACCAGAACCTTATTTTAAAATCATAAACCATGTTATAGGAACTTAAATACTTTCATTTCAGGAAGCAAAGTGAGGCCCCACTGTAACTTCATTTTAAGTTCTGCTTTTAATCTTTCATTTGATATTTTTTTCTTTAAAAGAATATTAATTTGGACTTGAGAGCTATAAATTTAATAAAAAGAGCATGGGTCTCTTTCAATGTGAGAATGAATAGGCTCCTTTGATAAAGGAGCTAGCCCTTCTTCTCTTGAAGCATTAGTTATAACACACCCACTAAGCAGGAAGCACAGCAGAAAAAGAACGAGGGCTAAAACATGGTCTCTCACTCAGGAGCCAACAATGCAGCTTGGGGAACAGGACACTCCAAAAGATCTGGGGAGAGGGCAATGGCTCAACTTCAAATGAATTCAAGCTGAGCTGGGTCACAAGGAGTGTAAGTGAGGACATCAGGAAAAGGCAAAGTCAGGCCCTGGCCAGGGAGGATTTGAGGAGGAGGTAGGAATGGAGGTGCCCCCTCCAGGGGTGGGGATTTCTGGGGAGGGGATATGAAAGAAGAGCTGGTGGACACAGAGCTTTCATGCAGGTCAGAGGGCAGGAGGCAAGTTCTGGAAGAGTTCCAAAAGCCATCTAAGCCACCTAGAGGGGTCTGGCCTGTGTTTTAAGTAGCCTAGAGCAACCATTGGATTGGGAAGAGAAAGAGGATACAAAGATGTGCAGAATGAGCCTGGAGTGCAGTTAAGGGCAGAACTGTTCCTCCCTCGGGCTGGTCACTCTGTGGGAGCAGCCAGGGGATGCAGAGGCAGCCCTCAGTCAGGGTGCAAGGTACGCAGGCGGCTCAGCACAGCCCGTGCATCCTCAAGAGGCCTGCTCAACAGAGCAGCTCCAGGTTGATCTGGAATTGACTTTCCTCATTCAGAGGTCTTCACCGAGCAACATTTTCTCTTACTAAACTATCTTTTATATTGTTACCTTGTTACTGTTGTAGTATTCTGGTTTCAGTTTACTGTCTTGATTCCGAGGGGGGATTCTTATTTTGATCTTTTTTCCTTCATATATATCCCCCCCTACCCCCACTTAAAGACCTCGTTGGATTCCAGCCCTCTGTCTTGAGTCTGTTATTTCTTATCTCCTTTCACCAAGAAACTTTCATTTAGTTTGTTACTTGACAGCAGGATCTCTCAACCTCAGCACTGCTGACATTTTGGGCAAGAAATCTGTATTATATTAAGAATCAATCCAGATAACACCTAGCGTACTACAGACTGAAAAGCACTGCTCAGGTATTTGAAACTGTCTCTCTGGATTAAGGCAAAGCACTGGAGAGTACTACATATGTACACAGTAGGACTATATCCCTGGGGTGGCTTTCTAGCTCCATACTTACAGTGAAGCTCTGGCACCGCACCAGCCCTCAGCAGGCCAGGAGCCCTACGTGCTCGCTCCCAGCCAGCACAACCTCGGACACTCTGTCCACTAAGTTTCACTTTCTTGTGTGTGGCCCATGGGCCCTAGGAAACTCTCTCTAGTCCCAGCACCTGTACAGCTCTGCCTCTCCTGGACAGCCCAGCTTGTGCTTCTACTGGCATCCACCTTGGGAGCTGCCTGCACAGGCAAAAGACCACCCTGTATGTGCTATGGGGACTTCTACTCACCCGCTGCCCCCGCCTCTCCTGGCCTCACCCTGAGTACCTCACCAACTAATTTGTAATTTCATTTAATCTCAGACTATAGGTATGTATATGAACCCTGCACATTCTTTCTTGGAGAAAGGATAGGTATGTTTATCATACTTAGACCATACAATCTGATGAGAAAGTTATTTTAGAAATATGAAATTTTTTTTTTGAGATAGAGTCTTGCTCTGTCACCCAAGGCTGGAGTGCAGTGGCATGACCTTGGCTCCCTGCAACCTCCACCTCCCAGACTCAAGTGATTCTCCCACCTCAGCCTCTGAGTAGTTGGAATTATAGGCACCCGCCACCGTGCCTGGCTAATTCTTGTATTTTTGTAGAGACGGGATTTCATCATGTTGGCCAGACTGGTCTTGAACTCCTGACCTTGGGTGATCCGCCTACCTCAGCATCCCAAAGTGCTGGGATTACAGGCATGAGCCACCACGCCCAGCCTGAAAGATGAAACTCTTTAAAGCTTTCCTAAGTGTGTTGAGAACAAAAGGAACAGCCAACACTCATCATTCAACATGCTCAGAGCAGTCATCTTTAACCCAACCTTAAAATTTTTGGCTTCTCTCACTTTTTCTCCTTGTCATAATAAAAAATGAAAATAAGACAGTTAAGCAGGGAAAGAAGTAGGCTGAACCTGACTGAGCTCAGGCTCCAAATCTAATAAAAACCCAAATGCTGGGACTAGAGTCTTCACAATGGAACCAAGCATGTAACAACCACTGGGATCACCTAGACGGGGCTAGCCGTGAGTCCAGGTGATACCCCAGCTGGGGAACGTATTCTCACCCCCAAGGAGTTAGCCAACACTCAAATCAAGATGCAGCTTTCAGCCATTAGTGACTATCAACTTACCTCTACAGCTTCTGACCAAGTTTAAAAGATTACAGCTGCCCATTAAGAGATTATATAAATTCCATTGTGCTTGAGCAGGTTGCTTACTAATCCCTAGGCTGTTCCCACTCACGTCTTCCACTTTGGCAGCTCTATACTTGCCTTTCTAAGCAGCTGCCCTCAAATCCTGGCCACCAGAGCTCAAAGCTGGCAAGAGACCCCTTGTCCAGGATTTCATTTTAGCAGAGCTTAAAGAGACAGCTAGCTAATCTGAGAAGGGAGCCGGTCAGTCTGTGTGTGTTGGTTTCTGCCCTCTGGGGACAGGGCCTCCATTTCTTGCTGTCTAATCCTCTCCTGACCAGAACTGGCAAGACCTCCAGGGGACATTCTGGGACAAAGAAGGCGGTTCTGCCAACTTCCAACCCCTCTCAGTTGGGCCCTCCTGGGCTCCTGACCCCTCTAGCCATCAGAATACTTACATGGGTATGGAACCTTAAACCACGGGGCTACCAGCAGCACACCCTGCCTGGCATCTGTGCGAGCATAGAAGCCATACTTTGTGCTGTCGGGAGGGAAGACGTCTGTCACCGTGAAGATGAAGCAGAGCAGCCAGGATACCAGGATGGCCAGGATGATCTGGAGTGGTCAAGGGGAAGCTCTGTCAGGCCAGTATGGCTCCCAGGTGTTGACTAAAAACACCCCTTTACCACGGTCTGAACATCACCCCCAGAGCCCACTATCGCCTAGTACTATGCAGACCTATTCTTCCTTGAATGGAATCTCATTGAGAGAGC